GGGGTGGAAGCGAAGGTGGAGGGAGAGGGGGAGCAGAAGAGGGGGTACCCCCATAAAACCCTCCTGCTTTTGATTCGTATCTCGAAGCAAGGCTTCAGGTCTTCTCCAGCCAATAAGCCCGTTTGCTCTTTTTCACGAAAATCCTGACCCAAACCATCATTCCCGGTCCAGACTCCCCTTGCCCCGTCTTCCCCTCCCCCTTCCTCACCCCCACCCCCTGTACCTCTCCTTCCCCCCTGCTTCCTCTGCCCCTTCACATTTTTTTCTGCAGCCACTGGAACTCACCTCCCAGCCCGACCAAGCCGAGCAGTTGCCGGGGGGAATAGCTATCCTGGGTATTTGGCTTTATCTTTGTAACAGTGAAGGCTGCTTACTGATAATTCTGTTGAGCAGAAGTGGTCAGTGAAACGGGTGGAAGAATCGCGGCACCTGAGTTTTCGACCAGTTCGGGCCAAAGATTTCCCCTTGTATTTTGCATCACTTTTTTTTTTCAGGCCGCATGCTGCAACGATGTCGCCAGACAGCAAGAAACAAAAACAACTGCTCAGCGTGGCGTAAGTTTCATTCACAGTTACTTCTTGCCTGTGATGTAGATGTTTCTGGGGCATGAGTGATTTTTCACTGACACTGGAGTTCAACACAGACAGCCTGGACAATAGTAGACCGATTCATTTATGAGGATATTTTGAATAACAAAATTCACCTGGATAATCTCATTGTGAAGATCGCACGGTAGCGATATCACTGCGATACTCTCACTTGCCTGGCACAGCTTTGTCAGGCTCGACGATCCTAAACTGCATATCTCCAGTTAGTACCCACGGCCTGTTTGATGCATGTGTGCACCTCTTCGGGCACTGGTGAATCACGAAGGAGATGATGGACTTTCCGCCCCTCCCTCCTCTCCTAAAAGAGCCCCACTTTTTTCTCCCCTCGCGGATTGCTGTCGTTAGGCCGATGAAGGAGGGAGATGGCGGCGAGGCCGGAAAAGGCAGAAGGGGAGAGTGCGGCTTCCGAAGTAGTGGAGAGGAGGGGAGGAGGAAAATCGTCCAAATCCCTCCTGCTTCCTAGAAAACCGCCCTGGACCTGCCTGTTTTTTCAGGTACCGCTCCGTTTGCGTAGATGAGTATTTCTCTCGAGGTTGTCCTAACGGTGTTTGACTCAGTAGGAAGAAAGCCTTGAACGCTGGTCATTATTATAGTTGGGGCATGTATTTTTATTTTTTCCTGTATATGTTTGCACGCAAATACACTGAAAGATGGTGAACACTTGCTGGAGGTATGTAGCTTAGGATCGAAGGACTCGGAATAGCTGCGTGCAACGCATGGAAACATCCCGGTAATATCACTAATATGGGGGATTATTTGCGCTGGAGGTCGAAGTATTCTGGGTATGCCTCTTTGCAGTCAAAATGAACAGTAAGTGCAGGGCCTTACTATTTGAACAGGAAATATTCTCCTAAAATTTCGACTTTTCAGCTCTTCTGGCTTCCGAGCTAGCAGTTCTCCCGCCAAAACTTTCAAGTCTTCGCACGTGAGTGCCATGACTAGCTGAGGGCTGAATTTGAAATTTTTAAATTGTACGTGGACAGGGAATATCACCTTAAAATTTCAGCTTTCCAGTTTTTCTGATTACAGAATTAGCAATTTTCCCGTCAAATTTTTCATGTGCCCGTGCGTGAGAACTACGAACACTTAGGGGTTAAATTTAAAATCTTTAGCTCACACATTCACAGAGGATGCTCCTACAAAGTTTCAGCTCTCTATTCTTTCTGGTTCCAGAGCTCGCTTTCTTCCCAAAAAATTTGAAAATTTTTGTAAGGTTTTCGTACGTGGCTGCCAGGTGTGATGATATTAAAACGGGAAAGTCGCACATCTCGCAGGCACGTACTCCCGAATTTTCAACGTCTTAGCTGTTCTGGTTCTCGAGTTGAAAGTGGATGACAAAAAGTGCGGAGCCACACATACAGGCAGCCTCTTGCCAATATGCGTTTTTGCGTGTGTATATATGCAAAGACGCATAAAAAATCCTTAAAGCGTATAACTTCAGGAATTGCCATCAAGCCAAAAGAAAGCTCGATCGCTCCCGGAAACGCACGATTCCTCTTCTCGCCAGACTGCATGCGCCAAATCGAGTTCGTTTGTTTTATATTTTGTACTGCAGATTTTCAAAAAGTAAGACTGCTCGTACAGTCGGTGTAAGAATATATTGTTATTATTTCCACTCACCAAGCATGGATATGCCCTGAGCTGTGCGACTCTGATTAGCGCCTCCTTAGTCGTCGATCACTTTTTGGTAGGCACTGCTGACTGGTAGGCGACATCCATTGGCCGTCAGCAAGTTGACCAACATGACTTGCCGTGGGATTTTTACTTTCAAGCATGGTCACAATGAAATCTTGCACGCCGCTTATCTGATGAAAAGTCTGATTGCTGATATCGTCACGAAGAGTCACTCCAAATATCCTTTGCTCCCGTCCCAAATTCGCCACAGCCAGAGCTAGAATTTGTTGCTGAAAATGTTTTGTGCCCTTCTGGTAGCGAAGCAACCGTTTCCGCCCAGGTATCGTCGTCAGATCGAAAAAATTAACACTGAATCTTTTTGCCGAAGAAATGGCAATTGGACCCATTGAAGCCCCGCCTCGCTCCAGCTGGGACCAACTTACAAAGCAATGTCATACATAATTAGCAGTTGGTGCCGCCGCTGTCAAGCGGCACCATTTTTACAAAACGCATTTTTTGAATTACGGTATCATGGCACAATTTTATGCTAATTTACATCTGTAAATCCTTCCTTTCACTTGTCGTTTTTATTCGAGGAAGTCATTTTCCTCAATAGGGAAAGCCATCAGTGCACTAGAAGTATCCCTTCAAACAGCTACATAGAATTATGTGGATGAGAGATGCGCAAAACAGAGAAGAATGGCGATGCTGCCAGCCGCGTCAGTCTCGGAAGGAAACGCGATGATAAAAAAAGGCTAATTATAGGATTCAATGAGCGGTATCTGCCAGAGGATTAAAAGCTACTCGGACGACTCCTAACAGGTGGCGCATTTAGTCAAACAGATGATAAGTACTAGGTGGATGTTTAAAGATATTAGTGATGACATGTATGTATATATACATATATATGTATATATATATATGTATATATATACACATATATGTGTGTATATAAATGCATATATACACGTATATGTATATATGTGTATGTATATGTATATATATATACATATATGTACAGATACATGTATATGTATATAAGGAAGCATAAAATTCTGTCTTTTTTCTCAGGTCAATTCAACCGCTTCCAACTTATGTGAAAAAGGCTAGGTTGGGGACGCGGTACACAAAAATGACTAATATGTCTGAAAGAAAAGTTCTGCACTAAAAAAAAAGGACAAACAAGACTTTGAAACCGGCGAAACAACCAGCAACGTCACACCGCAATTATGTAAACATGCAAAAAAAGGACAACATAAGCACACGGGGGTAACGACCCGTTTTTTCTTTCCTGTAGATATAATCAAAACCCGTGGAAAAAATGAGAAATTTGGTCAAAAAGCGTAGAACTCATTTGAAGGATAGGCGAAAATTTAATCAATTCGTTTCCTAAGAAAACTACTGCTGTGATAGTGCTTAAAAAAACCTGCGTTCCAGTCACTTATTTTCATTTTACTTAGCACAGAGATTCAAACAAAAACGAACAGTGGAGCGCCTTCGCAGTGTAAAGACTAAAATACAAAAGCAAAATTTGACATCTCCATATGGATAAAAGGATGAATGTGTCTGGTTGGAAGGCTTTTTTGTTCACTGATTTTGAACAGCCTTTCTGAGTGCTTAGCTCCAAATGCACAGCGAAATTTTGGAGCGGGAGCAGGTAGGAGGAAAAAAAAGAAAACGAATTCAAGAAAAAAAAACACACCGTCATTAGTTCATCAAATGTAAATTCACAAAAATGCAGCAGTGCAAAGAAGTCATACAGCGGATAAACAACACTAAATTCAAAACCAACCAAACGAAGTTAATCACCAATTGTTACATCGCGGAACATTTGCCCCATTGATTCGTTGTGGTAGATGCGTCTGATGGCTTCGCTTAATACTAGTGAGATGTCGACAGTCTTGATTTTGTGACAACGCAATTTTTGCACTTCGTGAGGTACCGTATTAGTGACAATTACCTAAACAGTTTATTCACAATATCTAAGCAGAATAATCTGCTGCAACTAAGCAAAAACAATTTACTTTGAGCTGCTATGAGTTTAACGCTCATCCAAGAATGACACTGTTATCCACTGAACGACTAGCATGCATCAACTCAAAAAAAAGTTTACACGCTGAAAAAAAGCAGCACCAGCCATTCTAATATACAAGATGACTGCTCGGCGTAAAAAATCCCCATAAAGCCAAAACTACCTCCGTGATGGGTGACGATTCAAGCAGGCCAGGAGCATCCGCTGATAACAATCCGTGTGTTGCAATCACATAAATTTTATATGCTCCACGATTTTTTAAAACCTGAGCTGCTGCAACAAATGACTGCGCATCATCGATTATGTCATCCTGCAAATTTACATTATTATTATTGTTATTATTATCATTATTACTATTATTGAACAACTCGTAATTACTCACCAAAACCGAGATCCCGCATTTCAGAGGTATCTACTGAACTTGCGTTTAA